GTCTGCTTCTTCTATGTCATTACTTGATAAAATTTTTCATGCCTGGGGCCTTAGCAAGCCCTTAGTCTGATAACCATTGCTCCAGAAGAGGAAAGGGCAGCTCACCCTGCATGAATTTATCTCTCATCCTTTGACTCAAGGGAAGACTGATTCATTTTGGGAAGAAAGATGGCCTGTGAATTAGCAGCCTTCTTGGACAGGCAGCTGCTCCAGCTACAGGGGGTCTAAAGGGTCTGGAGCTCAAAAGAGGCCAGGGGATTTGAGATGGTACTGGGAAAGGAAATGGCTTCACCTTTGATACTGGTGCTCCTGGTACAGAACTGCGGGGCAGTCTCTGTGTAGCAAGGTAGTCTAATAGTCCAGGCAGGATCCAGGTTTTGTTTGGTTTTTTTTTTTTTTCTTGACTGCTACTTCCCTGGGCATTGTTTGTGGATCCAAATAAAACAAAATCCTTTGTAACTTAATATTTTCTCAATTGATCATGATATTGATTATTGATCAAGATATTCTGAAAACTCGTTAGGTTATTTTAAAGTTCAATAGGACAAGAATGAACACGAAAGCCCAGAGATATTTTTAGGATGTTTCGTTCACTTTAGGCCATTTTAGACTTGAATTGCCATTTTGTTAGATCACCCAGGGGATGAAATAGAAAAGGGAAAAAAATTTCCAGAGATAATATCTAAAAGGTATGTCAGCAGAGAGCAAAGCAGTTGACTGAAAAACAGAAGTACCAAAGACAATGAGAATGTTGGGCTCTGGCGATGGGGAGGAGAAATTTCGTATTAGTAGAACAACAAAGTCATGTCCAGTTTTGAGTGATAAGAGGTAGTTGGCTTTGACAGTCATGAGATTATTTATCACGTTTTCAAAACCACATTATTTATAGTGATGGGAACAGAAGCTCAGGGCAGTATATTGAAAAGGAAATACATGATCCAGATTTGGCAATAAAAACTGCTCCTTCATGAATGGAGCATTTTTTGCCCAAAGTCAGCTGAGCTCTTGTTTTGCTAAAGTGTTACTTTTTTACGTGCCATTGAGTAGCTTATGACTAACAGTGACCCTATGTATGTACAAAAACTCTGAAATAACCTGCTCTATCCTGTGCCAACTTTACTGTCTCCAACACACCTACCCTCATTACTCAAGTCACTGTATCAGTCCATTTTATCAGTGATCTCCCTCTCTTTCTCCATCCCACCACCCTTCTAAGCATGATGTCTTTCTCCAGGGACCAATCCCTCCTTGCAACATGCACAGAGTATTTCAGAAGAAGCTTCAGAGTCCTTGCCTCCAAGAAGCAGGCTGTCTTCACCCTCTCCAGGACGAACCTGTTTGTTCTCCTAACAGTCCATGGTATATTCAATACTCTTCTCCAACACCACAGCTCAAAAGCATCAATTCTCTTTCTATCATCCCTAGTCATTGTCCAGCTCTCTGATGCATAGCAAGCAATTGCAAAGACTATGGCCTTTTTCAGGCACACCTTAGTCTCCAGACTGATGTCATTTCTCTTCATTACTCTGGAGAGGTTCCTGACAGCCAACTTTCCCAATGCAGTTTGTCTCTTGATTTCCTGGCTGCTAGTACCAAGAGTGTTGATTGTGGAGCCAAGCAAACTAAAGCTGTTAATAATCCCAAACTCTTCACCATCCATACTTGAGTATGTTGTTGTTGTTATTGTTATGTGCTGTCGAGTTGCCTGTGACTCATAGCGACCCTAAATACAACAGCCCTAAACCCTGCTCTATCCTATGCCAGTCTCACTGTCTCCGACACACCCACCCCCATTACTCCAGTCACTGAATCAATTCACCTCATAGAGGGTCTTCCTCTCCTGTGCTGTCCCTCCACCCTTCCAAGGACCAGTCCCTCCTTATAACATGTCCAGAGTATATCAAATGAAGCTTCAGAATCCTTGCCTCCAAGGAATAGCTCGGTTTAACCCTCTCCAGGATGAACCTGTATATTTTCTTAGCAGTCGATGGTATATTCAATACTCTTCTCCAGCACCAGAGCTCAAAGGCATCAGTTCTCCTTCTGCTCCCTCCTAGTCATTGTTCAGCTCTCAGATGCATAGCAAGTGATTGCGAAGACCATGGTCAGTATCAGGCACACCTTAGTCTCCAGAATGACACCATTGCTCTTCAGTACTCTGGAGAGGTCCTTAAAAGCAGACTTTCCCATCGCAGTATGTGTTTTAATTTCCTGGCTTCTGGTGCCAAGAGTGTTGACTGTGGAGCCAAGCAAACTAAAGCTGTTAACAGTCTTTATCTCTTCACCATCCATCCTGATGCTGCCAGTTGGCCCAGTGGTGAGGCTCTATGTATCCTTGATATTGAGCCTTAATCCATATTGAAAGCTGTAGTCTTTGACCTTCTGCAACAAGCGCTTCAGGTCCTCTTTAGTTTTAACTAGCAGGGTTGTATCATGTGCATAGTGCAGATTGTTGATGAATCTTCCACCAATCCTGATGCCACATAGAGCCCAGCCTCCCAGATAATCTGTTCTGCATATAGATTGAAAAGACAAGGCACATCCCTGGCATACACCCTTCCCAGTTTTGGATCGTGCAATGTTTCCTTGCTCTGTCCTGATGACTGCCTCCTGGTCCAAGTATAGGTTTCTCATTAGCACGATCAAGTGGTCTGAGATTCCCATTCTTCTCAGAGTCAGCCACAGTTTGTTGTGATCTACACAGTCAAAAGCCTTTGCATAATCAATGAAACACAGATAGACATTCCTCTGATACTCCCTGCTTTCAGCCAGGATCCATCTAACATTAGCTACAATATCCTTAGTACCAAGACCCCTTCTAAACCCAGCCTGGACTTATGGCAGTTCCCTGTTGATGGGCTGTTCCAGTCATTTTTGTATAATCTTAGCAGAATCTTACTTGCATGTGATATCAATGATATTGTTCTATAATTTCCACACTGTTGGGTTGCCTCTCTTTGGAATGGGACCAAATATAGATCTTTTCCAATCATTTGGCCAAGTGGTTGTCCTCCAGATTTCTTGGTACAACTTGGTGAGCACATCTAGGGCAGCAGACTTGAGTATGTAGGACTCAAAATCTAAATTCTTTTAAAAGAACAAGGAATTCACTCTATTTCTTTTCTCAAATAGAGGTTTCTTTGGAAGTTTCTGGTTACTGTATATCTAAATTATTTATATGTTTATACCAATTTCTTTCCTCTTAGCCATAAAAATTATATGGTTGCAGATGATAAATTAATGAAAGTGACTTGATGTGGACCTGTTGCATGGTCTAAGGGGCTGTCAGCATGCACTGTTGACTTCATAGAACTAAGAAGACTTGATGCTGTTGACTTCATAGAACTAAGAAGACTTGCAAGGGCCCACTCTCCTTGTACAATTGTAGAGAAGATCTCTGGGCATTCAGTATGGTGGTGTTATAATTCAGAGAACTAGCCAGAGCCTCTAAATTGTTGAGACTGTAAGACCTCAGTCATTATTTCAAATGTAATAGGCCCTGAAATTAGTATAAGAACAAATGATGACAGGATACTCCTGGAAACCTGCCTTTCTCTATTCTTCAAGTTTAGGGTCAGCAAATCTTTTCTGGGAAACAGAAGTGGCATCTACTTCCTAAACATCATGCCTCTGGAAACTCTATGAACTTTGAGAAATGAAAGATTATTAAAGAAAGACTTCAGACTTTTTGTTCACAGGGTTGTTGTGAGTTGTGCTCAACTCGATGGCAATCAACAACAACAAACCTTTTCTGTAAAGCAGATAATAAATATATATAACTATAATAGGCTCTGTGGTCCACAACATCTTCATCTTATTCTTGTTTTTCTGTTTTTCCAACCACTTAAAAATGTAAATATCACTCTTATCTCACAAACTACATCAAAACATTGGCCACATGTCACACAGCTCTCGGGCCATAGTTTGTTGACCCCTGTTCTAAAGATACAAAAAATTGAGTTCATTAACAGTGACATTCTTTATGATTAGGCATAAAACATCAGGCTTTAGGTTGTATTAAGTTGCTTTTATGAGAAGAGTGTATTTTCTAGTTACATACCGAGCAGACAGATGTTAAGTGTAACTTGTGTGGCTTCTGCGGCACTGTGGTGCCTGGCTTCCGCTGGCGTCCTATTAGAACACAAGCTCTGAACATTGTTGCTCACTGTGGACCTCTTATACATAGCAGACTGCCTGGGAAATAGGCCTGCATGTATGTTGTTAGTTGGCTGGTCATTTGTCTTGGTAGCATCGAAGTATTTCAAAATAATGGGCTTTCCATAGCTCCATTTTACATTTTAACATTTAGATGATAGTGCGTCAGGCACTATTCTTAAGGACGTTTTGTAATTCCACACTACAATCCTAGAGATCTCGACACCACTATGATACATAGAGAAGTCGTAGCCTGGAAGGGAGAGATCAGGCTGTGGGCACCCAGCCCTTGGTGGTGAGGGCCTCGCATGAGCATGTAGAGAGCTGTGCAGCCCAGAAGAGAAGGATCAGGCTATGGGCCCCCAGCCCTCGGTGGTGAAGACCCCATGTGAGCACGTAGACAGTTGTGCAGCCTGGAAGGGAGGGATCAGCCTGTGGCCCCCAGCCCTCAGTGATGAAGGCCTCACAAGAGTATGTGAACAGCTTGTCACAGGTGGCCCCCAGGCTTCTGGGTGCTAACACACTGGGCGGGATCTCTTGGTCTTCACGTCTGTGGCTTGTCAAAGTGACAGCAGTCTGAAGAATGTACAGATTTGTCAATACTCATTGAACTGTAACCTTAAATTGGGTGCATTTGATGACATAAATTATGTATTGATAAAGTAGATTTTTTTTTTAATGTTCTAATCAAAAAAGGAAGCCTGAGTTGACAAGATGTAGTTTGGGGGAAAGAAAAGTAGAAAAAAGAGCAAAGATTTTGACCTCTCCAAACTTTCTTTTTTTATTTTAATGGCTTTGTTTTCAACATTGTCTAGAAACTATTTTGTTGTGATTTTCATGCCTAGGGAAAGGAAAACTGCTTCAGCACAAGATTAAAGCGCCTAAGAAGCATGAAGAGAAGGAGAAGAAGGGAAAGGGAAAGGCACAGGAAGATGAGCTGAAAGACTCACTGGCTGACGATGACAGCTCGTCCACCACCACAGAGACCTCCAACCCAGACACAGAGCCGCTTCTCAGAGAGGTGAGGGCGGTCAGGACAATGCGGACTAGGAGAGTAGAGGCATGCTGCTGGCCTGTCACAGCTGCACCTGTTCTAAGGATTCATTTTCATGGTGCACAGAGATGGATGTGTGCAAAGGCCATTTATGCACATGTGTTCTCTCTCTCTCTTTCTCTCCTTCTCTCTCTCTCTGTCTTTCCCTCCCTCCCTTTTTGTGTCTGTCTGTCTGTCTGTCTCTCTCTCTGTATGTGTGTCTTTCCTTCCCTCCCTTTTTGTGTCTGTCTCTCTCTCTTTCTCTTCCCCCCTTGTCTGTCTGTCTCTCTCTTCCGCCCTCCTTCTCTCTCTCCCTCCCTCCCTCCTTGTCTGTCTCTCTCTCCTTATCTGTCTCTCTCCATTTCTCTTTCTCTTGCCCCCATTCTCTCTCCCCTCCCCTGTCTCTCTCTGTCACCCTCTCCCTCTCCTTTGTACCCTCCACCTCTTTCTTTCTCTCCCACCCTCCATCACTTTCCCTGCCTCTCTCTCCTCTCTCTACCCCCTCCTTCCCTGTCTGTCTCTCCCTCCTCTGCTGTCTCTCTCTCTTTCTCTTTTATTGCCATTGTGTTGAAACCAACTCATATTCAGCCCTCCAGTGGGTTTTCAGAGGCTCTATATTACACAGGAAGAGATTGCCCATCTTGCTCCTGCAAAGCAGCTGGCAGATTCAAACTTCCCACCTTTGTGTTGGCAGTACAGTTCTCTACTCACGAAAGTAAAATAACTAGGAGTTGGAAACACTATGAAAGTTAGAGACTCTCTGAAATAGAAACTATAATCTACCTAATGAAATTTCTTTCGAAATATAAGTATCAAAACAACCCCAAATAGCAGAAGAGAATGAGAAGCCATTCTGTGTCACTTTAATGATTCCAGGCTTTTCCTGGCAGTTTTATCATTACCTAATACCTGTTGGAAACAGAGCTTCAGGAACAGCTCACTCCCCATACGACTTGTTCAGTGACTATCTCAAGGGTCCAGGAAAAGAAACCCGGGCTTTAGCAGCCACCCTGACCCTTTGGCACATCAGGCACATCCCCTCGTGCCTTGACCTTCAGCTCTCAGGGTGGCCATTAGGATCAGGATGCTGTCATAGGGTGGGCCTTAGGTAAAGAGGGTCAGTCATGCTGTGATATGTTGACAGGCAAGAGAGAGATAGTGTGCAGAAATGTGAGGATAGGGTTCTGCTTCTGCATTGCTCTTTCTAGATAAATCAGCCTGGGTTTTTCATATTGACTGATTTTTCAGTTTCATTACACTGACCTTCCTTAAGGATATTCCTTAATGTCATCTGCAGACATTAACTTTTAAAATAAAATTTATATATAACTTATTTTTCCTACCCTCTGCCTTTCTTTTTTGCAGTCCCCCACATCTGCTATGGGATTCTATATGCCTTTATTAAGATTCATAATTAGTTTGGAGTGTTGTGCTTTAAGGAACACTTTAATCATTTAGAGCATCAGATTGCCATCTGACTATCTCAACAGTTGAGCTAGATCTTAACAATTATGTGGAGAAAGCTCACTGCCGTTGAGAGGTAACTAGCTCATAACTGACCCTTCAGCTGGTTTTTGAAGGCTTTAATCTCATGGGAGGAGAGCTGCTGGTAGACTCAGACCACCAGAGTGGTGCCACCTTTGGGTTAGCATCATGGCTTCCTGCAGACTGCACCACCCCAATGCCACTGGATGTGGAAATTTCTAGCATAGGCTTTCTTTCCCACTTGCCCTTTTCTACTTTTCCAGCCTCTTGTCACACTCCTTGCTGGGCATATGTGTCCTTACAGACAGGTCAGAGCATCTCTCCTCCATGAGGCCCCCATGCTAGGTGCACCCTCCCCTCTGCTCGATTTTACTCTGTCTCTATAGCATGCTGCACAGAGGCCATGTGTTTGATTTTCCTTGTGTCTGGTTGTATGTATTACATATGTTCTTGCCAACTAGATTATAAACATTGACAGAACATTTTCTCTTGGATATTGTCAGCCTTATTCTACCCACCAATTCAACAAATTTTGTTAAGTACCTGTAGCTCCTTTGGTACCTACAGCTCTTCCCTATGTCGAGTATGGTCTTCCCCTTTTGTCCCTCAGTCAATGCCTTTGTATCCTTTGCTGACCAAACTGGCTGTGGTGAAGGACCAGGGCTGTGGGGCGGCGGCAGTGCTCCTTTGATACCATGACTGTGTGAAGTTACTATTAAAACGCCTAAGTGTAGTTTCTTTAGTTACCATGTCAGAAGTAGCAGTTGGCAGACCACCATAATAATAGCATTGCTCTAAAATGGGGTTGAATGCAGCCTCCCCTCCACACTGCACACTGAAGGCAGAATATACTCTCCATGCTCCAGAAACAGCCAAGGAATAGTTTTATACTAAATATCCATGTCACTTTCTATTGTCTGTGTGTCCTGCCTGTTTTACTTCATAATATTGGGACAAAAGTGTAGGCCTACTTTGTAACCAAGTCATCAAGTAGATGATCAGGAGATAGCAGTTGAATAAATAAGTGAATAACTGAGTCCTGTCTTGCTAGTAGTGAATAGTCAGTAACATTAAACTGGCCACAACGCTATTGTCAGTCACCATGGAAGGACTATACTTACGTACTTAGTCTCCATCTCCAGTTTTCCTCCTTTTCACCATCAAACAAATTACCCAGAATATTTGACCCTATATTCTACTCTTTGATGAACTTTTCTTACATATAAAGGCAAGGTTTTACTCTTTAATCTTTCCATTTCCTGCTGCCACTTCCATCCTCCACCCTTCCTGGAATGGAAGTAGGAATTATGATCACATTCATGATACTTAAGACTCTTCCTACATAATCATAATTTAAGAGACTGAAAATCTGAGAGACCCACACAATTAAAGGTAGATTTGAAGAAAGGTATTTATTATTTTTACATGTATGACATTTGTATCTATTACAGCTTGGTTTTGTGTCTTTACCTTTGAATGGGACTAATTTCAGTCATTTTTACTAATCCTTTTCAGCAGTTAAGTATAATGTTGGGTGTGGTTTTTTTTTTACAGGATACAGAGAAACAAAAGGGAAAACAAGCCATGACTGAAAAACATGAGAATGAAATGTCTCAAGTGAAACAAAGAAACAAAAAACTCTTAAATGTTAAAAAAGAAGTCCCAGCAGATGTGAAACCCAGGTAAGGAAGACACAGTAGTCAGACAACAAGGTGTCTGAAGGAGTCACGGGGTAATCAGCCCGTATTCACTGGCTTCCTTTCTTGCTTGTTTCTGAATCAAAAGCTCTGAACTGCATCACAGTTCTTGGGTCTGTATTGCCTACAACAAGCCCTCGGTATCCCTGTTCTTGATGAGGAATGGTCACATGCTTCTAACACCAGACAAGTCGCAGACCCACAGGGAAGTGTTAAGAGGAAATTTTAAGTTGGTCCATTTTTCCAAGGCAGAACACAGAGGTGACCTTGATGGCTCAGCTACAGGCACTGACATCATCTTTTGGGGGAAAAAATAGAGCTTTTAGTTTGCTGAATCGTTAATACAGAGCTATACTTGGAATCTAGAATTCTGTGCCTTGAAACTTGGAAGATAATTTCCAGCAAGATGGCAGACTAGAGCAATACTCACATATTGGGGGGATAGGGGGCAATATACACACACACAAATGCACAAAAACAGCAATACCGCAATATGTCAGAGGTAACAGATCATTTCAGACCACACACCCCCCCAGCAGGACATGATGACACAAAGTAACCAAGACACAGAACCAGAAGATCTTTCAGAGGAATAGATGCTACTGGAACTTCCTCATAAGGAGTTCAAATGGCAGTAAGTCGGTGCCAGTTGGAAAGAAGTTTAAGAAGACCACAAACAGAATCAAGGAAAACATAAAACTAGAAAAATTCAAAACATAAAAATACCAAATTGACAAAAGTAAAAGTAGAATCCATAAAACCTAGCAAATTGAAACTCAGAATATTAAAACTAAAATTTCAGAAATAGATTAACACATTGAAAGGACAAAAGAGCAGAAAGGAATCTGTGGAACACAGAATTATTGAGATAGAAGACAAATCTCTCAATACTAATCTGTTAGAGGAAAAAGAAAGAAGAGAAAGAAACCGTGAGAACCATGTGAAACACCATCAAGAGGGGTAATTTATCTAAGACTGGAATTCCGGTAAAGATAGAGACAACCAAAAAAGACCACAGAGAAATCATTGAAGATTTATTGTACTGGAAGAAAATTTTTCAAGTTCAGTTTTTATAAAAACAAGAGATATATTCAAGAAACTCTACAAATGAAGAACAGGTTAGATGCCAAAAGAAAACAACCAGAAAATAACGAAACACAACGGCAGAATGCAGCAGCTTGATATAAACAAAAAACAAAGCATTAACTCTTAGAGAGGCAAACCAGTAAGTCTAAGCTCTGGCTTCTGAGTGGAAACTATACAGGCAAGGAAGCAATGGGATGTCTCCCCCATTTAAAGCATGTAAAATTGTTATACCCATCAAAATTGTCCTTTAGATATGCTAGTGAAGTTAGAACATTTCCAGATAAAGAGAAATTAAAGACTGATTGTCATTAGGAGCCATCAAATCGACTGCCACTTAACCCTATGAATAGCAGATATAAATCTTGCCCTTTCTACCCCATCTTCAATGAGGTCCTGTTCATTGTTGCTCTCACCATATCAGCCCATTTCCTTGACTGTCTTCTTCTCTCTCCCTGACTTTCCACTTTTCCCAGCCAGCTGTCTTACTCTAGGCATTGGTTCCTCCTGGAAATGTGCCCATAGGATGTGAAACTAAGTGTTACCATTCTTGCCTCTAAGAAGGATGGTTACACTTCCTCTAATCCAGTTGTGTTTACTGTTCTGGCAGTCCATGTACTTCCGCAAAATCACAATTCAAAGACATTGATTCTTCTGTGTTTTGTTTTTTTAAATTCTTTTTATTTTATATTTGTTTACATATAAAATTCATGTACATTGTATTTCATTTTTATATATTGTGTTTCACACATTCCTCTATTCACATTGTATCATAGTATCATTCTCATACATTGTGTTTTATAAAATTAATCACCATTGATCTATGCTCATCATTACTCTACCTCTTCAGATCCCCACTGGATCTTTCGTACTTCCTTCAACCCCTCACTCTACTCATATAGCATTGTGACCTCAAGAAATCCCCCTCCCCACCTTTAGCTCCCCTCTTTCCTTAATTTGTCTTCTGTCATCCATATTTATTGTCCAACTTTCATTTGCATAGAAAGTAGTTGAAAAGACTATAGTTTGGATCAGGTATATCATAGTCTTTAAACTGACATTATTGCTCTTTACAACTTTGGAGAGGTTCTTACCACTAGGTTCCCAGAGCTCCCCTATGAGGAACTATATTCCAATACATTTGAAGCCCTAGAGGAAGTGAATACATTTTCACTTCCTAAGTGCCTACCTAAAATAATATGGAAAGAAGTAGAATATTTGAATAGTCTTATCACAAAAGAAGATGTTGAACAGCTCATTAACAAACACTCCCAACCAAAAACCGTCTGTTGCCAAACATCTTTTCCAATGAATAATACCATTGAGAGAATCACTAACATCAGTTCTGTTCGTACTGTTTCTGAATATAGAAAAAGATGAAGTACTCCCAAATTCATTCTATGAAGCAAACATAACCCTGATACCAAAGCCGGGCAGACACCACTGAAAAAGAAAATTGGGTATCAGCATTCTTTATGAGTATAGATGTACAGCATCTCAACAAAACTATAGCCAATAGATTTCAGCATCACATTTAAGAAAAATAATGCATGATGAGCAAGCAGGATTTATACCAGATATGCAAGAATAGTTCAACATGAAAAAAAAACAATCCACATAAATAAAACAATTGAAAAGAACCACGTGATCATATAAGTAGATACAGAAAGGACACACTTTATTCACAAAAATGCTCAACAAAATAGGAATAGAAGTGAAATTTCCTGTTCTCTCCCTCATCTGTTTCAATGCAGTATACATAATTTATCCACTTTTTCTCAGTCTTACCCCAACCCTGATGTCAACAGTTTAAAAGCAGTATATGATTGGGTATTATGGTGATCACAAGGGTCCAGAGTTAAGGTTGTTTAATGGAGTGTACTCGGGGTGGTGGGGGTGGAGGAGTGCGGGATTGGATTGTATACCAATGAAAGAATTTTTCTTTTACTTTTCAAAGAGAGAAGCAAACTGGGAGGGAGGGGTGAGAGGGAAAAGAGTGCAACAATGAATGAATGGAAATCCAAAATCTCTGTAAATGTTCATTAAAATTAATAAAATACAATTTTTAAAAAGTTAAATTCCTTAACATAATTAAAACCATATATACAAAATCAGTCTTAATGGAAGAGACTATGTCAAGCCGTCTTGAAGGTCTTCCTCTCTTTCACTGACCCCCCGTCAGCCTTTCCAGGCATGATGTCACTCTCTGTGGACTGGTTCCTCCCCCTCATTTGTACCTCTAAGGAACGCCCTGGTTGCACTTCCTTCAAGGTAGATTTGTTTATTCTTTTGACAGTCTATGGTATTTTCAATACTCTTCCAAACACCACAACTCAAAGGCATCCTGGTCTTCCTTATTCATTGTCCAGTTTTTAGATGCCTAGGAAGTAATTTTTCCTCTTGGCTATTGTCTAAGCTGACTTCCGCTGGGTCTGCAGCTTCCAGGCTCCCCTTCTGCCCAGGGGCGCACTCTCCGTGTCCCCCAAGCACCTCCTCCCGACGGGTGACTGGAATGCAAAAGTTGGGAACAGAGAAGAAGAATCAGTAGTTGGAAAACATGGACTTGGTGACAGAAATGAAG